GAAACAATATTCATTTCATTCCATTAATTCATTTCATTTCATTTCCTCAATTTAGGCACCATCCAGTTCTGAACTGCCTCTGGGCAGGGTACAATAAAACCAAACAGAATAAAAATACAACACACTGATTATGAAATAAATAAATAAATAATAAATAAAGGCCTCACCTTTTTTCCCATTCTACGGATTTCTGTTTAATTGAAGATTGTAGCTATTGTAGTTACATTTACATCATATTCCACTTAGACGCTTTATAACTCTCTTCCCATAATGTAATGTCTTGGTATGGAAATCACCCTTTTTTTTAATCCTTTGACAGATAGATTTCCCTGATGTGGGCTTTTAAAAAGGAACTTCTCCCAAGATAAGTTTGTGACTGAAAATGTAGCTTCTACTGTTTGTGTGTAACTTTCAGCAGTGTACCTTTTTTAAAAAAAAAAAAAAGATTTTTTATTGTGGAAAGATGAACACCACTGGACTGGGAAGCTAGTGTTCATGCTGCTAAAACAAAATTTAAATTTACTGATAGCACAATGGATTTTTTAAAGAATATCTTTGCTTTAAGACACATTCAGTTAAACCAGATTAAGAATTTGGATACTTTTAACTCCCGAATAATCAATAGGATTAATGTACAAGGTCAGATGTTTATATCCACTGTGACATTTATCTCCACAAATCCCCACAGCACCCATTCCCTCCTTGGCCAGGAATAACTTCAGAACTTGCTCTCCATGAGCTGCCCAATAAGTAGTTTTAGCTTACCAACTCTTCTTTTTACCGTTTCCCCCCCCCAATGAGATCTTCTGAACAGTATCAGACAGCTGAGTCTACCACCATTTTAATTTCCTTTGATGGAGCGCCTGTCTAGAAAATTGTGGGAAATTAACACAGAAGTCCTTGGCACAGTACTCTGTACCCAGTATCTGATAGCCCTATAAAACCTACAAAGAAGAGATATGACCCACCAGAAGTTATCCTACTCAATGTGAACTATCAGATCTGAGCTGCAAATATCCAGACAGCCATTAGATGCCGGAAAAGTTAGATTTTTGTGTTTTTCTTTTTTTGGCAACTACTGGTCATCTGGATTTTTTTCAGCTTAGGTCTGGTAGGCCTATCTCAGAGGATCCTCATGCTTGGAGTTGGCCCTGACTCTTCACCGTTTTACCAGCTATCCTTGAGTTTTCAGGGGAAAGCATAGAAGCCCTACACACATTCAAACAAAGGGTTAATGTTGGCAGAGAATAAAATAGAGCACTATAAATGGGCACAAGAAGGAACCTTGATTTTTTTCGCAGGGAGAGGGGATTGTTGGTTTTTTCTCCCAGTTCCTTCTCTAGTTAAGTCTTCACACACTTCACAAAGACAGCTGGAATTATTCCCACCACAGGCTTCTTTCTGATGTAGCCCAAAAATTATCATTGCAGAGGACTGATTTACAGCTAGTTGTTGACAAGCTAAGAACGTTGAGGATTTTAAGACGGAGGGGGGAAAACTGCACATGGGATTCTAACAATGTTTTCTGCTTCTCTTCTTTTTGCACAGTTCCTACTCCACCTTCTGACTTCTAAAGGGATCATGGGTAGTTGTACCGAAAGCCAAAATGCAACATCTTCCACAAGTAACCCTCTGCCAGGAGCGTCGATAGGCATAGCGGTGCTCTCGCTTGCTTTCATCCTGGGGTTCCCTGGCAATGCCTTCGTAGTGTGGACCGCGATCTGCTGGGTCCGCAAAAGAACAGTCACCTGCCTCCTCATCCTTCACTTAGCCATTGCTGATCTGGCAGTGCTCCTCACCGCCCCCATATTCCTGCGATTCCTAAGTGCCAAGAAATGGGAAATGGGTGAGGCCATCTGCCAAATTTGCTATTATATCTGTGGGGTCAGCATGTATGCCAGCGTTTACCTCATTGCCCTCATGAGCCTCGACCGCTGCCTGGCTGTTTCCAAACCTTTCATCTCACAGAAAATCCGTACCAGGAGCACCATCCGGCTTCTGGTTTTTGCTATTTGGGTAGCGAGTCTTTTCTTAGCTGCGCCTTCTCTCGTCTACCGGAAAGTGGTCACTCGCAACGGCACAGCGTACTGCACATTGTGCCACAAAGAAGACAAGGAGTTGGTCTTCCACAACCTCTTTGAAACCATCACTGGATTTCTGCTGCCCTTTGTTATTGTTGTCTACAGCTATGCGACGATTAGCCAACGACTCAAGGACACCCGTTTCCGTCAGAAACGCCGGACAAGCCGACTCATTAGCCTCATTGTGGTAGCCTTTGCTCTTTTCTGGCTTCCTTACCACATTGTCAACCTTTTAGATGTGATTGGTCTGTGGAGTGGTTCCTCAAAGGTTAAAACAGCGGGGAAGATGGCTAGGCCCATTCTGGTGGCTCTTGCTTTCTTCAGTAGCAGTGTCAACCCCATCCTTTATGCTTTCAGCGGGGGCTCCTTTATCCGATCATCTGGTTTGGGTTTCATGGCCAAACTCTTTGAAGGAACAGCCTCAGAGATGTCCAGCCTAAAACACGGTACCATCCGGGACCGAGATGTCAAGACTGAACCCTTAAATAATGGGAAACCTGAGTTGCTAACTATGTCTACTAACCCAACAGATAGTGGATCAGCTCAAGAAGGTGGAAAATCTTTGAAGCTGCTCACAACTTGAAACTATGGGCAAATGTGAACATTCAGAGTTTTGTTGTCAGCCTTCTGATGGTCTTCTCGAGTGCTGAAGAAATGATTTCTCTTAACTTTCTCTATATCCTCTTCCGTGATCTTTTGTATGAGGTAGGCAGTTCCATTTCTCACCAGTTTCATTCTGCAACTTGGTTGTACTTTTTGGTATGGAACTGCAGGGACTAAAACGTGAACTTCTTTTACCTGTCCTTGAACAGACTATTTAACATGATGTTTAGCAAGTGTTCCCAAGGATTGTTGCAAGCACCGTGAAACCCTCGCTGAAAATGTGAGAAGATGAATCAGTGACTTTGTGTTCATTAAGTGCTAACATTTAGAAACCATGCAATACCAGGCTTGTCTACAGTCTGTCCCCACCCTAATTCTAAGATATATACATCTAAAACCAGAGGAGGGTTTGCCCAGTTTCACTTTTACATGCACAGAAACCCTGAATTTCCTCTTTTTCCCCCTCAAATCAATTCATACAAGCTTTTGTGGAAAGTTCCCCTCCCTGTTTTTATGCATCATTTTGCAATTGCCTTGAGAGATGAAATATGTGCTTAATGCTTTGTTTACTGCTATTCCCTCCTGAAACTTCCCTCTTTTCTTCTTCCATTTAACTACTTTTGTTACTATTCTTGAACTATTTTGTTGCCCTGTGTGTTTTCACTTTTTTACCATATAGATCCATGCTTGTAGGGATAAAAAGGAGCTTTGAGAAACCATGAAGTTTGAAATTTGCTTCTTTCAGAAAGCAATCAGCCAGAGAAAGAGGGGTCATAAGAGGCTTAAGTCCTGATATCTGCAAAAGAAAGCATTATTCTATCCCTCAGTATGGCCAGTGGGAGAATGGAATATTCCAGCATTTTGACCTGTATTTCATATCTACATTGCAATAAAAAGAACATTTATATATAATTAACACATGGCCATAGAACTGGGTGCAAGGGCAAATGTTTAAAATGTGTGATGAATGTTGGGCACCACGTGCATTTGGAATTTAGGATGCATTCAATGTGCAACATTGTTACAGGATCTTATGGTGGACTTCCACATACAAACGTTTGGTTTGCTTGTTGTGACTAGCAATGATCAAAGGAAAGTTTGCTTAATGGTAATTTAAATTTTTGAAGTGAAGGGGCAGGAGACCAAAAGGTTGGAGAGCAAATCAGTTTAGGCCATGAGATCTACCATCTTTCCACTTCCTAAATTAGTGTCCTCAGGAAGGGGCTGAGGGCTACTGTCTCATAAACAGCACTGAAACATGGGAAAAGACACAGCTGCATTCAAGAGTTGCAGTTAGGGCTTATCTTTCTTTCCATTCCTGTGCACTGAAAAACATACTTTCCAAATGATTTCCAAACCCTGCACAGCCCTCAGGTTTGCCTGCAGCACGTTCCCATTTTATTAAAGCTGAGAAATATTTCTTTTCCTGTCTAAATTAACGCAAGAGGCCCCTTTGAAATTTGACATCTGTTTCTGCACTAACAATTTGTAGCTTCTGAAAAGGCGGGAAAAAGGGAAAAATTTTGGCACCTCCCCGATTTTTGTGTGAGTCATGCACATTCATAGAGATTCAGTGCGTAACTTCATCAGCAGGTGAGCAATTCTGTTGCGGTTGTGTAATCAGAAAGGATTGTCAGAAGGAATGTTTGAAGCATGTCACAGCAGAATTAACTTTCTGGTAAGAAGCAAGCAGAAATTCATGCAAAGGCTGGACAACCTTTGTTGAAACAACAAGATGTTTCATGGGTGTATTGAATTCAGAGCAGTTTTTCAGGAATGTATTTCTTTTGGCACCCTTCAGGTTCTCATATAACACATTTGTATCTCTTTAATGTAGGATTTAAGGGTTGTTTTCTTTTTTCTGGCAAAGGCGAAGCTTTTATATACTTGCCAATAAACGAAAAAACTGGCAGAGAATTGCAGTTCTCAGGAGGAATGTTTGCAATCCTTACACTTTTTTTTATTATTATTATTCCCTTTTTTCACTTGTATTCTTTTATTGTTTTATCTAAAATGTTTAATAAAATTATTGGAAAAAAAAAGAAAAAAGAAATGTTTGCAGCCGTGCAAATGTTAAGCAAAAAGAGGGACACAAAATCAACCAAATAAATCCTTGGGAGACTTAATGATGTGCAAATAAAATAGATAACACTGTTTATTTTTGCAAGAATTTAAATATGCCAGCTTTGGTTGTTAAGGGGAGCTTTCTTATACACACACACACAGATACACACACAGAGAGAGCTACCAGAAAAGAGAAACCTTTCTTCTGGCAAGGCCTCCTTTTACATCAGCAGAAGATATTGCATGCCACAAATCCTTGCAAACTTACAAAAGATTTCAACCAAGCCTTTGCATTTACTTATCGTGCTACTATTACTGGAAATCTCAGCTAAGAGGATTTCATGGAATCATTACTCCTGTTGTAGTCAGGACAACCCCAAAGCAAGGGATGAGCTCAGCAATGTGGGAGGAAAAGTTTTCTAATGCCCAGAATGGGCCTAACTTATTAAATGAAATATTTTAGGGAAGAAAGGTAGGAAGTGTTGAATGTTGCACCTCTCAACTGTCTGGCAATGCTTCTCCCAGGTTTTCCTGTCACCATTGGCTAAGAGATGCTGGAAGTTGTAGATTAACATCTGGAGGAAAACCATGGGTTTTCCATTCCTGTTTTAAAATCACAATGCAGAGATTAAATCTCAGTGCCATCTGCTGACCTTCTTGTAAAGTTTATGCTGCAATTTTTTTTTTTATAACCCATTTGCTATCCCTTTTTCCCAAATCTACATTGACAGGCATGAGTTCAGTGACTAAGAAAAGAGAGAGGGAGAGGGAGAGGGAGAGAGAGAGAGAGAGAGGGAGAGAGGGAGAGGGAGAGGGAGAGAGAGAGAGAGAGAGGGAGAGAGAGAGAGAGGGAGGGAGAGAGAGAGAGAGAAAGAGGGAGAGGGAGATTGGGAGGGAGGAGATCCCCTTAACTGTTCAGCTCCTTTAACTACATGAAAACCTGCTTTTAAACTTGGCCTGGCAGAGCATGTGCCAGCATTGCAAAACACTTAAACCACAACGGAAAGAAGAAGTGGAGATGGACCATCAGGCAGGAAGATGGCCTAGAAAGTATGGCAGGAAATGGTAGCATTTTCTGTTGACAACCTAACTTATTTCCATCAGATATATCTGAGAGAGTCAATACCCAACTAGCCCTATGCAACTAAAGAAAGCTCCGGTAGTACCAGTAAAATGACTTCTCTATTGCCCTCATTCTCAAATTATCCTTAACTCTAGATATGACCTGCCTGTTGAGATATCTGCACAACCAACAACATTACCAATCTCATGCTCTCAATCTTCAGAGGCTCTATGAAGCCAAGCCTCAGTTTTGTTTGAGAGCAGGTTGGACTTAAGGTCTTCTGGACATGATGGTTGGGGATTGGTAAGATCAGTACAGACCAGATTGAAAGAATGGTGTGAATGAGTCATGATCAAGCATTACAACTGAGTAAACACACTGAACACTGAAGTTCCTCAAAGGATGGTCCATCGCCTCCAAGTTGACTGGAGAATTGCAGCCTTCTTTCTGCAGATCAGGAGAAAGCTCTATCTGGTCTTCTCAAGACCAAGAACAAATGCTCAGATTTCAACCTTGCAATTACAGGAAAACAGGGGTTTGCTGTGGTGATGGAGATAGAGGCTTTCTCATATAAGACAAAACGGTGCCTCCTTAGGCTCTCTTTCTCCCTATTCCCACTGTGAGTGCCTCTTCCTACAGAACTAGAAGGCTCTATTAAAATAAGCCACCTGCTGCCCCCAAGTGCCAGGAGGAACAGTCTGCAACTCTTCACTGAGAATTCCAGCTCTCAAGTGTCTTAGTTTCATTCCAAAAGATTTAGCTCAACATCGGTGCTTGGGAGCAAGAGCGGGCCGTTTCCGTACAGACAAAGTAAGTTCTCAGTTCACCTTTGCCCTTCACCTTGATAACCCCACGAAGGGTGCAAGTGTAGCCTAATGTCTCCAAAGCTTTAGCTGTTTCTTCTGTGACCTATGAGAAGAAAAAAGGAGAGTGTAAAAAGGGTGTTGATAAATCTACAGCTATTTTTGTCCTTTCTCGTTCCCCAATTTTAACATTTGTTTACTGTTCCTCTTCCAAATGAATAGCATAACATTTTATTAATGAGAGAATATAGTTTGGATTTTCTTTGGCCCAAGAAGTCTTCAGAAGTTTCAGCTGAAGTGCCTTAACAGAAAAATGAAAGGGGGCTCAGCATTCCAAATATTACCTAGAACAATCATCCACATAGCTGTTCTCTTTGTTGGGTTGGTTTCAATCAGATTAAGCAAGGTGAAGCTAATGTAGAATTAAATTGATTTGTTATGGTGGGATGGGATGGGGCAGGTAACTCTTTGGTCCCCGAGCCATAGATGGCCCTTGCATTCTTTTTCTGCAGTCCCAAGAACCCCTCTGACCTCATCCTACTGAATTTCAGCAGCACGGTCCCCAAAAGTAGGATCAAAATGGAAAATCATGACCTGCGCTTGATGTATAATACAGAATCATCGCTGAAGGTTTTGCCCTCTCCCCAAAATGAAGGGCAGCCCCATGACCATCAAGAGATTGATTGTGGCTGTACTGTGATTTCAAAGACAACCAAAGAGAGATTTAAATATATTGTTGTTGGTTTAAATTAGAGTTGAATGAAAAAGGGAAGGGGAAGTATTGGATGTGTGGGTGTTAGGTACACTGTTAAAATTATTAATGAAAATACTTCCAATGCATTTCAGACAAGGTCCTTCTTTTGTCTTCCCCGTACAAGACTGGAAACATGGCATATTTTTTTCTGCAGAAGATGTATCTCTTTGGGGTGGGGGGGGGTACTTTCCTAAAGATATTTTTCTCATCTGGATTGAAAGGTGGACCATCTTGCGATATTTTCTCTGCATGTCCTCTACCATTTGCAAGCATGAACACAGGTGTGTGGTAAACAGCCTTCAGTTCATCCGCAAGTGCCCCCAGAACTACAGTGAATCTAGGTTATTGTGCAGGATGTCAAATGATGGCAAGGAATTGACACCGTTCTGATTTGGAGCTACAGCAAAAATGAACGAAGGCCACAAACAAGGCCAGGAGACAACTGGAGCTGCCCTGGCGTTGATATGTGATTTCAGGAGGGTGTGTGACTCTTAATAGGCATGTCAGAGAAATCAGGCATAGATTATTTTCTCTCCTAGACAAATGATGTGGTCCACCTTGATGCAATTTGCCACAGCGTGAACAGGCATAACATTCCTGGTATCTATTGGCATTCAGCTCAGAAACCCTGAACCAAAAGCACTGAATAAGGGGAAAATTGCAAAAAGCTACATTAAAATGTTTACTTTAGGGAAAAGCCATATACAAGCTGAGCATATTTTGGGGGAAATTGCACAAAAATCCATATCTAGGAGAATGTTCTGTGCAAGCCCCAACAAGTTGTATACAAACAATAAATTCCAATAGAACAGAATATCTGTAGCTCAGGGTTGAACTGTGGAGTTCTTGGTGTTCTTTGAGCGTGGCACTGATGATGTCACCTAGTTGGGTAATGAAATGTCTGTAAGCAAACAACCAAGCTCAGAGAGCACCAAGAACTCCAAAACAAGCAAGCAAAACAAAACAAAAAATGAATGGGTAAATCTGTCAATAGGGTGAAAAAAAATCCTTCCACCAGGTTTTACTGCACTTACTACAAGCAAGCTCCAGCAGTAGTGGATTTAGGATAGGGAGAACAAGATCATTTTTCTATCACCATTTCTCTGATAGACATTTTCAATAGCCTGGCCTCCTGTCTCCAACAGTGTTCAGCCAGGTGTCTGGGAAAAACACATGCAGGACTTCATCTCCCATCCCTTGTTGTATGAATTCCAGGAACAAAGAGAAAGGCACTGTCTTTCCACGTTATGTCATGAGGAAGAACCATGACTGATGTTCTTTTCAGCAACTTCCAAGTTGGGTTGTGTTTTCTATAGGTTTATTTCATTTAAATCTGTTGGATGGTTGCAAAGATAGAATCAGGAATGCTAGGACACAAAACAGAGAAAGGAGACCATGCAGGCAGGAAGGTTCTGTATCTACCTGTATCTTCCCCAGAACTCCTGTGCTCTCCATTCGACTGGCTACATTCACAGTGTTTCCCCAAATGTCATATTGAGGTTTCTGGGCTCCAATGACTCCAGCCACAACTGGTCCATGATTTATACCTGCAAAAGTTTCCAGAGCTTAACAGTGGTGATTGATTGAATTAAGCAAGGATACAAGTAGTAGTAGGTCAAAAGTTCATATGAGTTCTTTATGTTCAATTCCCTTCTCATGTTCGTGTCACTATCTCCTTCATCACTATGTTTCATAAAATGAATGGATAGGCATGAACATCAGCAATCCAAACACTGATCCAAGAATCTGGGCTTTCTGCCATTTCTATGCTTTGAAGAGGAAGCTCCCATACTGCACCATGTGAATTTTTAAAACTTTATTCATTCAATTGTAACACAGGACTTAAAAAAAGTTGTAAAGCTGAAAATTAAAAAGCCAATTAGTGTTGAGCAAGTACCAGCATTATTCATAGCTTAGCCTGGAAGGGAAATAATTAGATTTGGACACCAGCTCCCCTTTTTCTCTAAAAATACAGTATAAGGTCTATTTTCATCATATCATGAATTCATAGCCAAAGTAAGTTTCAGGGAGGAATTTTCTTAGCTCGTGCTCAGTTTACTAACACTCACCCACACGGAGTTTGAAAGTGTTGAAAGAGTGCTTGTTGATAATGTCCAACTTGGCCACCAAAGCCATGGCAAACTCCACCATGGTTCCCAGGTGGGTATAGCTCCGTTCAGTGTCCTACACAAATCATCCATGAAGATAGATATATCAGCCCAAGCCAATGGAC